AAAGCAAAAGCCACTCACCATATCAATATTGCCAAGTCTAAAGCTAGTTGCTGTACCTGTTCTCATTGGTGTGGTCTTCTTTATATTTAATCTTGGTCCATTTTGTTCACTGTGCACTTGACTTTCATTACTAGGGCTTACAGATCATTTGCATTTTCAGCTATCAGAGTAGTATTATCAGGGCAGCACAAGTTTCTTCCTCCAGTTTTAAAGCCTCACTCATCTTCTTCCAGTCCATCTTCCCTCATTATCAATTCAGCACATAGGTTGAATACTTAAGAGGAGGGTATATAGCTTTCTCTCAGTCCTTTACCAATGTTGAGCCAACCTTCTTTCACCATGTTCCATCCGGTCCTGGGCATAGGTTTTGCATGAAGACCATGAGATGTTCTAGGATTCCTATTTTCCTAAGCACATTCTACAGCTTGACACGCTGGATGCAATCAAAGGTTTTTCTATGATCAACAAGCACATATTTACTTCTTTGTGGTATTCTTGGGCTTTCTTAATTTACCAGTCTGCAGCAGCAATAATGTCTCTTGTTTTTTGGCCTTTTCTAAATCCAGCTTGAACATCTGGCATCTCCCTTTCCATGTAGGGCTCTAATCTGTGTTGAAAGAATCTAAAGATCATTTTGCTTATGGGTGAAATTAGGGATATTATATGATAGTTGCACATTCTGTTAAGTCTCCTTTCTTTTGTACTGGCATGTAGATTAACCTCTTCCAATTTGTTAGCCATTGTATCATTCTCCAGATTTGCTGGCATTATTTGTTAAAACCTTTACTGATTCTTTTTCTGTTGCTTAGCCTATTTCTGTAGATATTTTATCAATTCCTTTAGTTTTTCGATTTGGTAATGACTGGAGTGCTGATCTAACTCCCATTTGTAGTACTAGAGGTTATTGTTAGTACGGAATATATTTTAAGGTATTTTGGAAGATGAGATCTCTTCTGTACAGATTTTCAGTATACTCTTTCCATCTTTGTTTGATCTTTGAATCAGTTGCTTTCTGTCCAATGATATCCTTTAGCATATCAATTTGAGCCTGGAAATCTCCTTTTGAATTTTTAGATCTTCTGAAAGATTATCTCAATTTTTCATGTCTGTTTTCATCTTCAGTGTCTTTACCAATGTTATTGTAATACTGCTTCTTGTCTCTTTTAACAGCTCTTTGAATTTTTTTGTTAAGTTCCTTCCTGAGATGTTTGTATTTCTTGCTTTGGATTCTCTTCCACAGTCAAGCTCTGGACATGTCTTTGCTGTGATAACTAAGCTTTTCCACCTCCTTGAACCAATGACATAGTCAGTTTTATATCTGGTGATGTCCATGCATATACTGTAGGTGCTATTTTGGTTGTTGGGAGACTGTTAGCAATGAAGAAATCATTGGATTGGTAGAAACTAAATCATTCTCCTGCTTCATCTGTTTTCTAGGCCATACTTCAATTGATATTATTTGCCACTGATTGCACTGGACCCAAGTATTGCCTTTGCTATATCCTTCCTGACTACAAAAGCAACGCCATTCCGCCTTTGTTTTTCATGCTCTAAGCAGTAAATAGTATGATCTTCTGACTGAAAGTCTTCACTTCCAGTTCTTTTCAGTTCACTGATGCCTAAGATGTCAATGTGTAGTCAATTCATTTCATCTTTCGCTATGTTGAGCTTCCCCATGTTCATGGTTCTCGTGTTCCATATTTCCACTATAATTCTGTCTTTCAGCTTTGGATTTCAGCGACTAGATGTCTGGAAGGCTTTAATTTAGCCACATCATAAACACCATTAACACATCAAAAGATCCCCAGCTCTTCCTCAGTAACATGTTAACTGCTATCCAACCTGAGAGGCCCATTATCTGGCATTATATTGTCAGATCACTTTTCTTGGTAAAATTTCTTGGTCACGTTTTCTTGGTAAAAATGCAGGAGTGGTTTACCACCGTCTTCTTCCATGCAGTATGAATTGATGCCTTTGACAGCGTCACTGAAGGAATCATCTACCTCCAGCATCTTCCTATATCGCTGCTGCCCAACAGAGGTTCCTGCTTGCTTTATCTGGGCAGCTGGGATGACCTTCACCCCTTGGGTGACCCTGCTGGGAATATATATTCTTGGCATACATTCCTGGCATTCCTTGCTCATCCCTCCCAGGAACACCTCCTGCCACGATGAAGCAGCATAGCAGGAATTAAGGGGGAGACCTTACATTGCACACTACGAATATGGTACCTGCAATGTACAGTATTGTACAATGTTCAGACAGGCTCTGCTCATGGTCACTCATGCCCTGGTCACCTCCAAACTGGACTACTGTAATGTGCTTGAAGTGTATCCAGAAGCTTCAACTGGTGCAGCAGCAATATAGGAGCATGGTGGAGGTGGATGATTGAAGAGTTTGGGCTGCCCTTGAAGAGTATCCAGAAGCTTCAACTGGTGCAGAATGCAGTGTCACAGGCAGTTATGCGTACTCCCAGAAAAGCACATATTATACCTCTGCTCCGCAAGCTGCACTGGCTGTCAGTTTGCTTCCGGGTCCAATTCAAAGTGCTGGCTTTAACCTCTTCATGGCATGGGACTGGGTTATCTGAAGGACCATCTCTCCCTGACTACAGCAGCCCATCCCATTAGATCTGGCAGAGAAGGCATGTTGTGAATACCATCTGCTAGGGACTTACGAGATGGGCAGCATACAGTACACATTTAATAATAAATAAATAAATAAATTATGGAACATTCTCTCCCCCAAAGTTAGGTTAGTTCCATCCCAGTTAATGTTCCAGAAGTCTCTCAAGTCCTGGTTATGTCACCAGGCCTGGGGCTCCCAGGGAACTGGAGACATTATAAAATGGCTCCACTATTGTGGTTGATATATTCACTGTCTCCATGCCTTGTGCTTTGCATATTTTTAATTTTAATAATATTTTCATTTTTAATAATGATTTTTAATATTTTTATAATCATTAATATATAATGATTTATATAGTTATTGTTTTATTTGGTTGTTGTACGCTGCCCAGAGTCACTTCCTGTGAGATGGTCAGCCTTATAAATTTAATAAATAAATTTAAAAAATGTGAAAAGTTCAGTGTTCTAAATAGAATTGGAGGAATATATGAACAGTAGATTTATCCTTGCTCTCTTTCATAGCCATGTTTTTGGCAGTTTTGCACTCATCCTGTAATTTGTTTGCACATGTATGTCTTTTTACCCAGTATATTTCTGTTTCCCTGATACCTGTGGCTAATTAACATTGAATTATTTCAAGAGGGCTTAACTTTTTTTTAATGTGTTAATTGATCGTATTATTCTGGTGTCAGATTTTTTCACGGCCTTTGTAAACCACCTTAAAAAACATTTCAGTATAAACTCTGGGCAAGAAAGAAATGATTCCTTGATTGCAGTTTATGGTTGGTCTTTCAAACTGCTCCTTTTTCCTGCTGGTATTGCCAGCTGCAGTATGTCAGCCAGGAAACTGTACTCATGTAGAGCGATTGCTCAGAGCAAACCCAAACTGGAAACATTTGTGTCGTACATATTTTAGTTTTGTAGAGCTATCAAGTATATGTCAAGCAGTTAGAGAGTCCTTGAGACAAATAGCTAACCGTTATTTCTTTTTCTTCCCTGCTCTGTGCAGGGAAAAATAGAAGTAAAAATAAAGGTAAAAATAAACAGGTTGAAATCCAAAACCGTTCTACAGTTTGAACAAGATGTAAATGCCATCAGACCTAACTGGTATTACCAGGAAAGTTCCACTGAAATGTTTTAGTTTCATTCTGTGTCAGAAAATTAGATCAGTGCTTTTGGAAATGCATTCCTTACATCACCAGCAGTGCATTTCTATGCATGTTTCCTCGGGAGTAGGACTTGTTATGTCCTGAGAAGCTTATTGAATCATATTTTGCTCCTAGTGACCGTGGTAAATGCTAATTATCTGCACCTGCTTTTAGTAATAACTCTTCCTAGGGCATTCCAATAATCTTGTTTGATTCCACCCATGCGTGTCATCTGTTGACTTCTCTCAAATTTGCTAAGCAAAATGGTTTTTTGTAGTCCATCATTGGCTCATAGTATATGCCCAACAGCTTCTCTCTGCTGATCATTACCTGAAGGGAACAGTCCAGTTTTAAAAGAGTGGGACTGATGGATTGGTTCCTCTCGCAGTATCTTGTGCTCTTCAAAACCATCTCCAAATCAACAATTGCTTGCTCTTTCTCAGTGACCCATTTTCACACTGGAAAGACCATGGCTTTGACTCTTCTGACTTTTATAAGCTTAACCTTAATCATCTCAACCTTCATAATCTTGTCTCGGTTTGTCATTTTCTTCCTACCTAAGGATAATCTCTTTACTTCTCCAGCAGAATTCCCAACTAATTCCAGGCTCCAATCTCTGAGATGAATTCCACCTACTGTAACTCCACATAAATGCATCAAATATTCTCCTGAGGGCATTCTCTTCCTTCTAGCCCTTCTTCTCTATTCCCTCACCAGGCAGTGACTGGTCCAAGTGTTGTGGGAACATGCTATGCTAGTCCTTTCCTTGATTTTCCCTCAACTTTGATTAAAACACTAAGTTGGAAGAGTCTCTGGTTCAAAGCACTGAGCTATTACCTCAGATTTTCACTCACCCCTTCAAGGTGAAACTCAAGCAAAGCTAATTCTCTGAGATGTTATTACTTCAAGGTAATAAATCTGCATTTGTTTCTACATGTTCTACATCAAAAGAACAAGTGGGACTGGAAGTGTCATAAAGATCCTCTTTAAGACTCTCCATGTAATGGGAGTCTCCAAAGGGCTTGGCTAAAGCTAATTGCATGTTTAAATTATCCCTAAAGTATGGAATTTGAGTCATTTTTCCATACAGTGAGTCCTTTGAAATGAAATTAGCAAAAAGATTCCATGACTTTAATGTTTTAAAATATTTTTTAGTTAAAACTGTAGTATAGAACACCTTTAAAATTTAGGGTTAGATCACCTTGATCTAAATCACCCCAAACAATTCCCCAAATCATCCTTGGTCCAAAGATCTTGCTTTTAAATGTATGGTCAGTTAGGCTCCTTTGATTCCATAGGATGCAGGTAACTCAATTCCAGAGGACAGGTCCCTGTAGTAACAACTGGCAATTCGGATTTGCAGTTTGAAGTCAGAGGCCCACAGCTGCAATATAAATAAAAACAATACAATGAATACAGAAATTCACTCCCCTCTTCTTCCAGTTCAGCCATGCGTATTTATAAATTCATTTATCTTCTTTGAGGTGATAAAAACCCATGATTATAATATAGCTTTTCCCACTAATATTTTACCTCCAAACTTCTTTTAAATTGTGATCCTGTCTTTGCAAAGCTAAACCGAACAATTTCAGGAAGTAATACATTGAAAAAAGGTCTATATTCCAATCCTATATGAATCCTTAATTTTATTTATTTATTTTATTAATCAAATTTATATGCTGCCCATCTCACTTTATAAGTGACTCTAGGTGGCTTACAAGTAAAATTGTAATTTTACATTTAAATTTTAGCCATTTTACTAAAATTAATAATTTTAAAAACTACCCTAAAATTAAAGGCTACTTAAATACCTTTTTAAATTGTCATTTTATCTATGTAATAGGTAAATTTTATCTGTCTAATTTTATCCATCTAATAAGTAGGGAGATAGGTAGCTAGGTAGAAATTTGTATATATGTGTGTGTGTGTGTGTGTGTGTGTGTGTGTGTGTAAAAGAGAGAAAGAGAGTATGAGGGAGTTAAATATTTGGAAATGCAGGGTTTGTATGTCTGTGAATATAAAATGTGGAACATAGAGTCGAAAGTAAGTAGATGGGTCAGTTGTAGTCTTCACCATTATCAAAGAAATGCAGTTCATTGTTGGAATCCACAATCAGTATATTTATTTTGTAACTTACATCCTATGGGCAGCTGACATACAAATCCAAAAAACACCAGATTAATAACCCCCCCCCTAAAATTTAAAGTTACGTACAATTTAAATTACAGTAAGTTGAATTTAAAATCAAAATTAAAGCTGAAATCAGCTAGCCAATAACAGTTAAGCCCCAAATGTGTGATGGAAAAGTAGAGTCTTCCCTGCTTTCCTAAAGGCAAAGACCCTGGGGGCCAAGTGAAGCTGGGGGAGGGGCTAAGCTATGCCAAAGAGGTGGGGCAACAGCAGAGACCTCCTCCCTAATTCTCGCCCCTCTACCATCTTGAGAGGGAAGGATCCAAAGCAACCCTCCCCAGGTTTGTTGTACAGGATGGGCAGAACCTACTTGGAGAAGTTAGTCTTGGAGACAAACTATAGAAGGTTTTGTAGGCCCAAACTTTGAACTCTACCTGGAAACTTCTATGCAGCTAACGCAGCACTCACAAAACAGGTGTTCATTCTGTTGAAACAGCCCTTATCCATCAACAGGGGTGGACGTGTTCAAGGTTATGGTTGTTTCCATGCTGGTAGTCTTCAGAGGCAATCCTAGGTAAGCACAATGCAATACTCAAACGTTAATGAGGGGTGAGTTACTGTTTCCAGAGACTCCTGCTCCAAAAAAGGGCACCACTGAAGCTAGGGAAAGGCTTCCTTGGATATGCTGATCAAGCAGAAGCTGTGACTCCAGGAGAACCTCCAGATCCCTGACGTGTTCCTTCGGGTCCTCTGGCATCCTTCTTCATTAGGAGTCCCTCCAGGAAAAAGACAACCAGGGACGTTGTCATTTCTGCCAAGTGTTGCATCCCATTTTCTATCAGTTATACACTCAGCAGACTAAATGTCTGCTTCAGCCCCATTTTTAGATTGAGGACAATTGCTTAATGTGAATTGTAGCCTTACTGTTATAAAGGCCTTGGGTTTGTGTGACAGCTCCTCATCTGGTGATCTGGCTTAGCGACATTGTGTCTCAGGCTGCAAAGACATCGTGATGCCGCAGTGTGGGATGAAGTGAAAACTGCCCTCTTTTCTCTCCTTTTCCATTTCTGAGTTATTTATAAATGGTGGTAATTTGACCATTTATCGTTCCGTCTGTCCTTTTAAAGCTGCCATAGTGTAATGCCTCTGTATCAGTCTGGAGTGAAGTCACCCTTAGATTGTTGTGGACAGTTCACAGAAAAGATCTTGCAAAGCTGTGAAAAATGGAGAAAAAGATGTCCAAACAATTCAAGGGGTAGAACTATTCTCCTATAAAGAAAAGTTGCAATATTTTTTAGCCTAGAATAAAAATAAGTAAGAGGGGAGAAGCATTTTTCATTTGGAGTTTTTCTTCCCATTTTTAAATGCTAGAACAGCCAGTTACCCAATCCAGATAATATGTTGGGAATTCAGGACAGAATAGACAAGAGAAATGACTTCTTCACATAGAGCTTAGCTGAACAATTACATTTTTCATCACAAGGTATGGGAACGGTTCTTGGTTTAGAGTCAGAATTACACATCATGCTGAAATCAATTAACTACTAGGCAGGATAGCAAATACTGTAAAAGACAGAAACAACATTGAAAATGGCCATCATAGATTCAAAAATAGACTGACAATAACAGCATGAAATAGAAATGTGAAGTTCCTTATCTAGCCAAAAGAAATCAGATGGAGAGGCGCAAAAATCAGGGATGTTTGGCTTAGTAACAGTACTAAGGATCTTTGAGCTGGCATTGATCACCAGCCAAATATGAGTGAGTGATACGGCAAATTGAATTTTAAGGTGCATTAATAGAAGCATAATGTCTAAATCAAGATAAGTATTAGTCCCAATCTATTTGCCATTGGAAGAAATGGACTCCCCCCCCACCTTGAGATCCTGAGTCCAGTTCTGGTTACCAGACTTTAAACAAAGATTTAGACCAAGTGGGAAAGGATACTAATAAGGTGAGATTGAGGGAGGGAGGTATGTTTAGCCTTGAGAAAAATGTGTGTGTGTGTGTGTGTGTGTGTGTGTGTGTGTGTAATGATGCTAGCACTCCCCAGGTACCTGAAGAAGTTTCACATGATCCGTTGATCATCACCTTAAGAATGCAAACACCAAGGCATTTTTAGTTTCAGGAAGACATATTCTGGTTGATTGTTAAAGGAAAAAAAATTCTCATGGTAAGAGCAGATGGATAGTGAAACAAATTACCTAGAAAGCTAAAAGGTTTCCTTTCTCTGGAGGTCTTTAAGCAAAAATTGGATAGGTGTTTGTAGATGTTTTAATCCGAACACCTGCATTGATCAAGGATTTGGACTTGATCTAAATTCCAGTTCTGTGATTTTATATTATGTGTTTGCCTTTGTTTTATTGGGACTAACTGTGATTGGGACCATAGCAGAAGTTAACAGCATGCAACAATAACAGGAAAACAAAGTTCCCCTTGATGTTGGTAGAACTTCCCCACCTCAATCCCCACTATCCCAGGCTGGGCTAATGATGGGTTTGTTTGTTTTTTTTAAATTAGAGTGCAGATAGCTGTAAAATCACGCCCCCCTCCCTCCCATTTCAGCAAATCATTGTAAGATCTTTTCATGTCATTAATTAAAGGGGAGGGGAAACTACAGAGGGAGCTGCGTGCAAAACATTTAGGGGCTGATCCCAGGTGGTTTGAGAAGGGGGAGTTGATAAACTTGTGGAGAAAGGGTGGTAGCCATGAGTTTTTAGAGTCATATTGTCTCAATAGCCTGAAAGATAGTATTCTGCTGGATTACCAAAGGCTGAGAAACAAACTATTGTCTTTATATACTGCTTATTGGCACCCCATAAACATCTACTGTAGTTGGTCACTATGTGAAACAGCATCCTGGGCTACTCAATTTCTGGTATCACCTAGGATGGCTGTTCTTAGCTGTATTCACCACAATGTGCTAAAGCCAGGTGAAAACCAACACAACTGCTGTGTGCACAATAACATGCTTGGCCTGAACAAGTAAACTTCATGATGGCTTAACACAATAACCTGTGTTAACCAGGTCATCATGGTAGGCCATCATAAAGTTTATTTGCTAAATCAATATATGATTTCCCCCGACATACTCAACCACAGCCTCATTTTAGCCTATTTTAGCACTTTGTACAAGTCTAAACCATATGTTCTGATGTAAGGAAAATCTTTACTGAACAGTAACAAGCTATGATGGAGAAATGACAGTGTTACCTAAACTAGTGCGCTCTTGATGTGTGGGACTAAAATGCTCTTAAATCTCAACCTTTGACCATATTGACTTGGTATTCCAAGGTGGATTATGGGTCAATGTATCTGGAGGACCCTAAATGCTTATGCTGCTAGCTACATATTTCTGTTGATTTTTACACCTTTTGTTGATTAATAAGGAGAGCTGAGGATTTAGAGATGGGTTT